TTCCTCCCTCCCTTCCTTCTTTCCATCCTTTTTTCTTTCCTTCCTTCCTTCCTCCCTTCCTTCCTTCCTTCCTTCCTGCCTTCCTCTTTCTGGGCCTATACTGGGGCTTGAAAGGGCCTCACACTCATTTGGGTTTTTTGCTCAAAGCTGTTGCTCTACCACTTGAGCAACATCTCCACTTCCAGCTTTTTGCTGGTTAATTGGAGATAAGAGTCTCATGAACTTTTCTGAGCTGGCTTAGAACAGTTATCTTCAGATCTCAACCTCTGAGTAGCTAAGATTACAGGCATGAGCCTCCAGTGCCTGAGCTATTCATTTTACCTTAAAGACAACATGAACTGGTCAGTTGGTTCATGAACCAGCCACTTTGCTAAGAATTTAATCCATATAGGTCTTAATTGTATGAGAGAATAGAAACCTTGTCAAAATAAAGTACACCTGGAACTGACATGTGGCCAGTCAAAAGAAGGAGAGGAACAGAGGTAGCTATAAATATTCTTTTTAGAGAGAGTAGCTTTCTCTTTTCCTTTTGTATCTTACCCATTAAATATATAGCCCTAGAAGGGCAACTGCTGCAAATTTTATTAGTTCAAATCAAAACCCCCAGGAATTCAAAAATGAAGGCTAAGCTAAAGGATTTGCAGTGGGAAAGGCTTTTTGAATACGTTAACAATGAAAGATAAGAAATTAGGTCAGACTGGGTGCTGTAGCTCACCTCTAGTTACTCAGATCTCAAGTTGAGATCTGAACATTGTGGTTTGAAACCACCCTGGGCAGGAAAGTCAGGGATACCCTTATAAATTAACCAGTAAAATGGCAATACTAGTAGAGGTGTGGCTCAAATGGTAGAGCACCAGCCCTGAGTGAAAAAGCAAAGGGACAGCTTCCAAGCCGTGGGTTCAAGCTCCAGTTTGATTTCTGTGTTGTTTTAAATTGGAAAAAAAAAATCACGGAAAACAAGCATGAGGTCCTCCCAAAGAGGAAAGCACTTGGCTAGCAGCTGCAGAAAAATAGGAAAACATGCAACACTTTTCAGCATTGCACATTTTCTGAAAGCATTTGGCAAAGTGCCACCTGGCCTGGAACTGTCACCCAAGTACTCCTGGCAGGTGTCTTCAGAGCACAGGAACCTTTTTTTTTTTTTAAGTTTTTGTCAGTCATGGGGCTTGACCTATGGGCCTGGGTGCTGTCCCTATGTTCTTCAGTTCAAGGCTAGCACTCTACCACTTGAGCCACAGCACTACTTCTGGTTTTCTGGTAGCTTGTTGGAGATAAGAATCTCAGGGACTTTCCTGCCCAGGCTGGCTTTGAACCGTGATCCTCAAATCTCAGCCTCCTGAGTAGCTAGGATTACAGGCAAGAGCCACCAGTACATGGCTTAAGTTCCTTTTTATTTATTTTGTGTGCCAGTCCTGGGGCTTACTTCAGGGCCTGAGTCCTGTCCCTGAGCTTTTTTGCTCAAGGTTAGCACTTTACCACTTGAGCCACAGCTCCACTTCCAACTTTTTTTGGTGATTAATTGGAGATAAGAATCTCACAGACTTTCTTGCCCAGGATGGTTTCAAAACACGATCCTCAGATCTCAGCCTTCTGTGTAATAGTGATTACAGGTGAACCACCAGCACCCAGCTTTAATATTATTAGTATTTTTTTATTACTGTTAAGTAGTTGTACCAAGGGGTTTCAATTCAACATGTTAGCTTGTGAGTACAATATATTCCTCCCCCCCATCACTTCAATCTACCTGGCTCCATATTCACATATCTACCTTGAATTTTATGACTGCATTCATCCACCCTTCCTTTTTCCAAGCATCTGACCCCCTACCTTGATCTCAACCCTAACCCCACCTTGGCCAACTCATGTTCCAGCTTTCTGGTATTCATTTTGTTAAACTATATGATAGTTTTCAAAGGATACCATTGGATTCCTCTCCTGCTTATACAATATTTTAGTTAATATGTTGATGTATATATATGCATGACTATATACATTTATAATTTAGACCTAACCTTTACATATGAAGGAAAACACAGGTGTCTTCTGTTTCTCTGAGCCTGACTTACTGTATAACATTTTTTCCAGGTCCATATATTTTTCTGCAAATGAACACAGGAGCCCTTAGTAATGCTACTTACCTTCATTGGCAAGCGAAAGAACAGTGAATGGACTCATTTAAGGGAATCCATTGTGCAGAAGATCAATTTGTGCGCTCTCCTCTCTCTTTCTCTTCCCCCCCTCTAGCTCTCTTCCCCTCCTTTCTCTCTCTTCCCCTTTCTCTCATTCTTGCTAGTTATTAAGCTTTCTTGCCTCCTCCCCCTAAGGGCCTGTTCCTGTTCTGATTGGTTAAGGGGTGGATATGTGTTGTGATTGGTTTTCTCACTTTGGAACTCAAGCATGGATTCTGCCCTAACCTATGATTGGAACACTTCTGTGAACCGCACAGAAAGGACTCCTGATTGGATGGATGTCAGGGGTGGGGGCAGCGCCCAGCGGAGTGCAGTCCCATCCCTGTTTCCTCCATGAAAAATCTGGGAGCCATCATGGATTTTCCCTGAGCTCACACCTGGGCCTTCTAACATGATGACCTAACACCAGTCTTGCTTAACCCCAAAGTTTAAGATTGTCTTACTAAGTACTCAGGAGGCAGAGGTCTGAGGATGGTGGTTCAAAGCCAGTCTGGCAGGAAACTCTCATCTCACATCTTCAATTAACCACTAGAAATGTTGTAAAGTGGAGTCGTGGCTCAAGTGGTAGAGTGCTATTCTTGAGCAATAAAAGCTCCAGGACAGTGCCCAGAGTCCTTGAGTTCAAGGCCCGGGACTGGCACCAAAAAAGAAAAAGAAAAGAAGTCCTAATGAAATAGGGAAAGCTCACTGGCCTCCTTTACTTTAGTCATTTTGGAATCACTTAGCTAAGCAATGTGTGACCTTCTGACATTTGGGTCATGATGGCACCTCTGATTTGTGGGTCATGATAAACACGGTGGCCTAACTTGTTTTTCAGGAACTTGGGGGCCACACTTTGGTGTATTTCAAATCCGATGAAACCACCAACTCTTCACTTGACCTACACAGGTGTCTGACGGAGGCCCTCCTTGAACATTAATATACAATTTTTTGAACATTCATCCTGTGAAAAACCATGGGACTTGATTACTCATGTGCAGGCCCCGATGACCTGCCTTGTCCCCACACCTCAGGCCACACTGTTTCCCTCAACTCTGTCCTCTTCAGATTTGGAGCTTCTACCTCCCCATGTTTGTCTGAGTGGTCAATAAGTGACATTCATATATATCTTAAGTATTCGTGTAACTGGGCAAAAAGGAAGCTTTGTATGACCCTTCTCTGGCTGTGGTGAGGACTTTTTTGTGCCTACACTCAAGCAGGATAAAATAAATAAAAGGCAACAACTTTACCCAGCACTGACCATTCACAATGGATCTCATACTTAAATGTTCGTAAAAATCAGCTGCAGAATCTGGTCTGTGGGGCCCACTCCAACATTTCAGATTCCTGTGATTTGGAGTTGGGCTCAAGAATCTACATTTTTAATATTATGTCCTAAGTGATTCTAACAGTTATTGAGGAACCTTCAGGAAAAAAGCACGGAGACTACTGGCTTACCTCCAAGCATCCAATACATTGTCACTCATTTAATATTCATAAAATAGCTTTTATCATTTAACAAACAAGTATTGGCACCAATATCATTATGTGCCTCAAAAATACTGAACAATTTACCAGGATTCGTGGTTCATGCCTGTAATCCAAACTACTAAGAAGGCTGAGATCTGAGGATTATGGTTTTAAGCCAGTCAGGGCAGAAAAGTCCACCAGACTCTTACCTCTAATTAACCAACAAAAAGCTGGAAGTGAAGTCTGTTACTCTTCTCTAGTTATATAGACAACTAGTATTTATTTATTTATTTAATTTATTTTTGGGTCCGGTTGTGGGGCCTGACCTCAGGGCCTGGGTGCTGTCCCTCAGCTCTTCAGCTCAAGGCTAGCGCTCTACCACTTGAGCCACAGTGCCACTTCCGGCTTTTTTCTTTTTCTTATGTGGTGCTGAGAAATCAAACCCAGGGCCTCATGCATGCAAGGCAAGTGCTCTACCACTGAGCCACCTTCCCAGCCCCCAACTAGTATTTATTTACTCCAAATTTTCCAACTTGGAATACTTTCAAAATTCTAAAACTGACCTGCAAAAAGTAAGTTTTTGCTAGCCTGACATCACATTCCTGCTCGGCTTCCCTACACACCACATAGAATGTCTCTAGGAAAAGTTCCATTTCTATTTGTAAAATCAAAATTCCCTGTTAGTATTATGCTCATCTTTGGTCCTCAGCTCCACCCACACCTGGGCCCCCTTCCATTTCTGGAGTTCCCTCCATAGAGCTGGCCCCTCCCTCTCTCCGCCCAGACCCACCTGAACTCCCATCTACCTCACTTCCTATGCCCCAGACCTTCCTGCTACCTAGATGGGGGAAATATGGCTCCTGTAATAAACCTTATAATAATCTTTCTCCTGTGCCTGCCTGCTTCTGCGTGGTCTCCTGGGATGGATGTGTGGGTCTCCTTCATTCCCCAACCCTGCTTCATGCCCAGCTGACTTGTGCCAATCCTCACAGTCAATTTACCTTCTTCTGAGCAGTCCCTTTTCTCTCCATCTTGACATCAGACCTGTCTTTAGAGAGAAGCTCATCCTGAACCTATGTGGCTCAGTGGACGCAGTATTCCATTAAGAGGAAGCATTAATTGTAAGTCAAGTAAGAGGCTGTTGGTTGCATCCTCTCATTCTTTTAGCCCACAAACTACTATGGGATATAGGAATTATTTTTCTATCTACCAGGAGTTATTCATCAACAATCATCAACAATCCTTAAGAGAAACGAAATGCTAAAAACTTACACTGTTAATGTAATGCATATGATCATTTGCAGGCAGGGAGAAAAAACCCACCACCACTAATTGATCCCCCCAAAAGAAAAGCATTAGAAATGAAACATGAACATTTAATTGCTTTTAAATAATACATGAAATAATTTACATGCTATACATTCCAAGACACAATGAACACAAATCCAATTTTATAAGACATTGCTTTTTGCCAACATAAACCTTGTAGGTCACTTAGGATGCTGATTTTTCAGTCCACGTGTGGGCATGTAAACACATAAATATATGTCTAAAGTTGAAGATTAAGGTAACTGATGAGCTGAATACAAGAAGTCTGCCATGAAGATTCTAAAACACAATGTGACTAGAACCAAGGCACGAAAGCTTCCCTTTGTGGTTATTCCTTTTCTAGGAAATAAGATTTGTTATTTGCTTACTATATTTTATAGCACATTTCTGTTACAGTTTAAGAAGCAGAATTGTTTCCTTATTACATAAGGTATTATAGAAATGAGCTGAAAAAATAAACAAATTAGAGAAGGTCACATATAACATTGGCTGCATTCATATGGAAACGCTGGGTATGGTCAAAACTACTATAACAGATATGGGTGGAATAAAGAGTCACTTGAGCAATCTGAGCAGATTTCAGAGTTTCTTGAATTGTACAGCCACAATGCCCAAACTCTTGAGTTGTAAAGTTAGCTGGGTAATACTGCTAATGCCAATTGACTTCTTTACTGTTAATATAAAGATATGGATTAGTAAAGAGTGTGAAAATATCAAGGTGAAATTAAACCCTTCCCAAGCTGCTTTTGTTAAACTAACTAGGCTCTCCTTAGTTTTCCTTCTATATTTAACAGAGAAGAAACAAAAATGTTCCACTTAAAAATTACTGCTTCAAGATTTATGCAACTAAGCAAAATTGGAACTATCTGTACTTCCCTTTTTACTTAAAAGTTTTTCGGCATACCAAAAGCTCAATGTGGGAAGACTACCAATATATTGGGAGATAAAGGGCATTTAAATAAAAATACATGTATGTACTATTCACTGTTTCAGGAACAAAAAGCTTAAGAGCTCTTCATACCTACACCATTATTAAAAGATTAAAGACAACCACAAAATGAGTCAATAGGATGCAGTAATCTATATTTTAAAAATCAGTGTGCTTATATGTGTCAATAATCTAAGCTGTAAATAAACCATCAAGCCAATTACAATCCAACAAAACCTTCCATTTCGTTCCTTTGAATCTGGAAGTGGGGTTAAATAAATGTACAACTTGTGCAACTGTGGATGCCAGAGAACGCAATGTGTGGCCCCTGAAGTAATGACAGTGTTAATTCTGCACCCACAAAATAAGGCTGCCCAGAAGAGTAACAAAATATCTTCTAGTAGGTTTTCAAACTGAAGGGTAAAGAATACACTGAGAATTTATTTTAAGGCCCTCTTTAGAAATATTTTTCGTGGCACTTCAAAATTCACATCACTAAAAGGCAAAACATGTCACTATTCAGTTACACAGTCACATAATTAGAAGTACATGCCATGACAATAATTAGATAGGGATCATTTTGTCTGGTTTGCTTTCTAAAAGTTAAAATATACTTAAGGAAAGCTATTCATGTTTGGCTATAATTAACACAGAAATGTCATCTAGTGTACTGTGCAAATTGCGTTTTGAGGAAACTTGCCAAATAACACTCATTTCTTACAGAACTGATGGTCATTCTCCTTGCTAAAGAGATGTAATCAAACCTGACTTCTTTCTCTCACAACAAGGACAGTTATTATTCTGTCTTCAATTATTTACCTACTGCTAACCCCCAAGGTCATTATTACTTGAATCCCTTTGGCCATTTGCAGAGACCATCTTCACCATCACCTGCCTCCTGCACTATAGTCAGTGCAGGACTAACAAGTCATTCTTGCCACGCCATACTCTAAGCTGACCACAGTAGGTTCTGACTTGGAAAACTCCTCGGCGTAGTCACTGTAGCGATTATCCGCGGGACTGCTGCCCTCTATGGTTCGAAGTGCATCACTCACAGGCAGCAGAGTCTGCTCTTTAAGACACAGGGAGGTTTTGAGGGGAGGTGATTCAGGATGAACTGAATGTAACAATTCTTTAGGGATGATGTCATCCGTTTGCTTATTTTTTCGTTGCTTGATTTTCTAAAACAAAAATTTGGGGAAAATATAACTATAGATATTATGTGGTCAGTCTAAACTAGGTGAAATAAAACGTACTCTTTTCAAATGTTCTACATATGATGCAAAAATAAATTTCAAAAACTTCATAATGGCTAGTGCACATGACAAGAGAATCATTTAAAATGCTAATCCAGAACTTTTGTTTTTATATTTATCAATCAAGCCGGCCAGACATGACTGTAAAACATCACTAGTCTTTCATATGTGAAAAGGGAATGTATTACACTAAAAGTCTGGCAAGTAAATATTTAAAAGACAGAAATGAACATGATACACTTTCCTAGAAGTGTCAACTAATAGCAATTGCAAGCTTAGCTCCAGGTCTTGCTACCTGGGTTTACAAAGGCTTGCTAGCTGAATATGCTGCTTAGAACACAAAAGAAGTATTTTTCTTTTTCTTTTTATTAGAATAGTGTTTAGAAGAATCCTGTAGCAGGATATCATGCTGTTCCAATCTTTGTACTAATCTGGAAAGTCTTCTCTTGTTACCCATATTCAGGGCCTGCTTTTCTTGAACACTCTTACAATTTGCCCACGTTGTTAGCTAAGATCACTAAGGGACATCTGCCCAAGGGGCAGACAAGAGTCATCGTCTTCAGTGTAAAAAAGGTGTCCAGAGTTGGATTCTGGTGGCTATTACCTATAATCCTGGCAATTCAGGACACTGAGACCTGAGGATCGCAGTTCAAAGCTAGCTGGGGCAGTAAATCCAAGAGACTCTTACTTCCAAGTAATCACCAGAAAACCAGAAGTGGTGCTGTGGCTGAAAGTGATAGAGCAATAGCCTTGAGCAAAAGAGCTCATGGACAGTGCCAAATCCCTAAGTTCAAGCCCCATGACTGAGGAGAGAGGGAAAAAAAGAATTGTCCAGGATAAATTTGACATGAAACTTCATAAAATCAGTATAAAATATATCATGAATCAAGTAGAAGAGAGTAGGCTGGACAGTTGTTTGTAATACACATTCACTAACAGAGAATTGCTATCTGCATATTACGAACTCTTGCAAACCAGTAAGACAAAAGGCAAAGCAAATGAACAAAAGTTTGATTAGTCCATTCACAGGAAGGGAATACCAAATGGTCAATAAACATGTTAAAGTCACTGAAATTCATTTGTAGTCATGGAAATCCAAAATATAGTAAATTAAACTAATATTAAAATTATATTAGAGACTTCAGAATACTTACAGATTCTAGATCTTCAATGTCTTCCTCTAATTGTTTATTTTGTTCATTCATATTCAGAATTATATTGAATACAGACTGCCTAGGATGCAATGTTCGGTCAAACTGGTGATACATGTTTCTCCAAAACCTTTATCACAAAAAAAGAAGCTTTACTAAAACCTAATTAGACTGAAGTAATAAATTTTAATGTTTTCCAATGTCTACAGTTCACTAGCCTGCTGTGTATTTTATGAATAACTGAGAAGAGCTCAAAGATTGCAAATACAATGATAAGGAGAAAAAAACATTATTTACCCTGATTTGATCATTATATACTGTCACAGTACTAAAATATCACTATGTATCTCACAAATACATTTAATTATATGATAATCAAAAACTTTTTTTAATTTAAAGACTTGGAAATGGTAACTACCCTTTGGTCATTACACATTGTATATATGTATTCAATAATCACACTACACACTACGTATAATTTAAAAGATTCATTAAAATTTTTCAAGATTAAAAAAACTTTTAAAAATTAAAAGATTCATTAAATTATGTTTGAGAAAAATCAAATATAAAACTGCAATGATGCCAACTTACTTAAAATTGAAAGAGACTGTATTTGGCTCCAGAACTGTAAATTTCTGAGACTTGGAATTGTACAGAGGATTTAAGTATTTCTTTTGGTTATCCAAAAGAAATGGCCACAGGGAGTGAGTCTTCTCCTTCAATCTTAATAAGAGAAACAAAGATCTTGTTCAGAGATGCAAGTATTCATCTTTATAAACTAGAAAACTGCTTTCAAAGTAGAATTAAGTTTTAGGGTTTTCTTCAATCCACAGATTCATCTCCTGTCTATGAATTGTGTTTTTTTGTTTTGTTTTGCTTTTTATTCATAACCACATAATAAGGTGAATGCCATGTTTCTTGAATATAACACAGGTAGATCTTTTTTTTTCTCTCAAAACCATATACACTTGACAGGATCCTCTCAAGCCACACAATTGCAAAGGTTGATCCTTGTTCTAGCTATTGCAGATAACTACACATACAAACATGGGTTAAGACATTACTGTAGCTCCATTTGGTCTGATTTTCTTAACCCCCTATCTAGGGTACAATGTCAAGTATCATAGGGTAGGAACACAATTAAGTGGATACAAACAAGACAAACAGACGAAGTTAGGTCATGATGCAAGGTTCTAAATGCCAGTTAAAATGCAAATCTGAGTGTGTAGTAAACCAGGAGTAGTGGTTCAGACCTGTAATTCCAGCACTCTGGAGTGGAAAGGGAGAGAAAGAAAACATGGGTAAAAGGCAGAATGGTTGTGAGGGACAAAGTGGACAATCTTCTCATTTTTCCATGATTCCAATAGGTGTCATCTTAGAGGAAGAAAACTATGAAATATTCATTTGCTTTTTCTTCTCTCTTCTTGTGCTGGTACTGGGCTTGAACTCAGGGCCTCATTGCTCTCATTTGGCTTTTTCACTCAAGGCTGGTACTCTACCACTTGAACCACAGCTCCACTTCCAGACATGAATGATGTCTGACAATCATATCTGCTGGTTAGTTGAAAATTAAAAGAATTTCACAGAATTTCCTGCCCAGACTTGCTTTGAACTGTGATTCTCAGATCTCAGCCTCCTGAGTTGATATGATTATAGACATAAGCTCCACTACCCTGCTCACAAACCAACACTTTAAAAAATCTACCACACTTTAAAACTAGTGATCAGTGTTTTCTTGGAAGCAGGGTAATGTAAAGATTTGTCTGTTCTAAAATACATACTCAAATTGAAAATCAGCATCACAGAAGTTTCTAGGGTACAGTAACAGTTTCTGTTCTTGGAGCTTGTTGTATAGGTGTGTGAGTCTGGAAAGACTTACTAGCCTGAACACTTATGCTATACATACTTTTCTATTGCTGTGAGGGTAAGAGACATTAGGAAGGTCCTTACATTCAGAAATAAGACAAGGGCTGGGAAGGTGGCTAGAGCGCTTGCCTTGCGTGCATGAGGCCCTGGGTTCGATTCCTCAGCACCTCATAAGCAAAAAGAAAAAAGCCAGAAGTGGTGCTGTGGCTCAACTGGTAGAGCACTAGCCTTGAGCTGAAGAGCTGAGGGACAGCGCCCAGGCCCAGAGTTCAGGCCCCACTACCAGACCCAAATAAATAAATAAAAAGAAATACAATAAAACCCATTAAGTTCAGTTCTATTTTATACTGTTAAGACATTTTGTTTAGACAACCACCATTTATGGTTGTAGGTCTTGTTATGAAGAAAATAAAAATAAATCTATTTATTTGTTTTTTTATGTTAGCATTCATTTTAATATATATATATATATATTTGTAAAGATACTGTACAGAGGGGTTACAGTTACATGAGTAAGGTGATGAGTACATTTTCTATCGAACATTACCCCCTTCTTTGTTTTTTCCCCTACCATCCCTTCCTTCCCCACCTCCCTGACTCCTCTCTTCCTTTCCCTCCCCCACCCTAAAGTTGTAAAGTTCGTTTTCAAGATAGTGTCTTATACATCTCATTGTTACAATGGGTCAACCTGTATCCTTATTAGCACCAGAATCAAATACAGTGAAAACAGGGACTATGCCATGAGGGAAGAACATACAAGAAGACAAACAAAAACATCACAAAGTACATTTTAAGTCCATTAAAAACAACAGCAACAAAATATAAAACCTCTTGTGTGTCTATCTTGGGATTATAAAACCTCTTGTGTGTCTATCTTGGGATTCATTTTGCTAAGCATCATCTTATATGGTCATATTACATAGCTTTTGACCTTTTCTGCTTGTCCTAGATATATACTAGTTATTGCAAATAAGAGGAACCATGGGACCTATGTTCCTTTGGGCCTGGTTTACTTCACTTAATATAATTTTTTCCAAGTCTTTCCATTTCCTAACATATGGGGCAGTGTCATTCTTTCTGATGGAGGCATAGAATTCCATTTTGTATATATACCACATTTTTGTATGTCCCTCCCCCACAGTATAACCCCTGCTTTCACTATATTTGATGTCAGTATAACTTGTAGAGGAGATGGGGAAAAACAAGTCATTTAAGGATAAAGCTGGACCTGTTGCAACAATGAGAAGTACAAGTTGTCATGTCGAAAACGAGCTTTACAATGTTGGTGTGGGGGGGAGGAGGCGGGGGGGGGGGTAGGGTAGGGGGGAGGGGGGGGAGGTTGGGAAGGGATGTGAAGGGTAAACAAAGGAGGAGGCTGCAATGCTTGATAAGAAATGTACGCATTAACCTGCCCATGTAATTGTAACCCCTCTGTACAGTGTGTTTACAAAAAAATAAAAATTAAAAAAAAATATCAAAATAAGGAATGTCACCTGGCCTTGGTGACTCATGACTCTCATCTTGGCTATTCAAGAAGCTCATATCTGAGTATCATAGTTCCAAGTCTTCCAGGACAGGAAAGCCCCTGAAACACTTATCTCCAATTGTTTTATGTAAACTTGTTCAACCACTTTGAAAAGCAATGTGAAGGTTCCTCAAAAAACTCCACATAGAGCTCCCCTATGACACAGCAATCCCATTTCTGGGCATTTACCAAAATGACCACAAACAAGGCCATATTAAAGCTACCAGCACAACTATGTTTATCATAGCTAAGATATGTAAACAATCCAGATGCCTCCAGTAGATGAATGGAATAAATCTATTTAAATCAAACCATCTTACTTGAGTTCCTCTCTTTCCTTCTGACAATTTCCAAGGAAGTTCCCAAATTGACATGAATGAATATGTTCATGAATCTGAAGAAGAAATTCTTCATTGAATTCAAAAGCTTGTGGGAACTGTTCTGTCAAATGCCACACACATTCCAAGAACTGAGTAAACACTGGTGAGGCTTCCTTTGGGTCACCGTCCAAGTGGCCACACCTAAACCCCAGGAAAGCATAGGCATTTAGAAATGTCTTGGAAAGAAATCCTGTATTAAAGAATCATAAATGTACACACCAATATAACAGTTATGTACACAGCACATATATATGATACACACATAAAATAATCCTAAAACACTGTTACATAAGCACAAAAATAGCATTTTATTGAAGTCATTCATATCTATGAATTTTGTAATCACAATTTTTTTTTATTTTACCAATACTGAGTTGAACTCAGGCCCTTCCACTTGTTCAGCTTCCTTGCTCACCTAGCCCTCTATCAATTGAACCATACACCCAGTCCTATTTTTTTGCTGTTTAGAGATGTAGTAACTTTTCTGCCTGAGCTAGAATGGAACCAGTTAGGATTACAGGCAAGAGCCACCAGCATTCAGCTTTGTAATCACAATTTTAACAAAGCTGTTACCTTCTAAATATTACAGAACAGGCCAAAACAATTATAGCCATTTTTGGTTAATAACTAACCCTAAAAATTAGCAAACATATTAGAATTGAAAAAAATGAAAAAACAAATCTGACTTCGTATAGCACTTTCATCTCCTGTTACACATGCAAATTCATAAAGGATAGAAACAGCTGGGCACTGGTGGCTCATGCCTGTAATCCTAGATACTCAGGAGGCTGAGATCTGAGGACTGGGCAGGAAAAGTTTAGACTTTTATCTCCAATAACCTACCAAAAAAACCCAAAAAACAAAAAAACAGAAGTATAGCTGTGGCTCAAGTGGTAAAGCACTAGCCTTGAGAAAAAAGCAGCTCAGGGACAGCACTTAGGCTCTTGAGTTCAAGCTCCAGGACACATGCACACACACACACACCAACACAGAAATACTACAGTACTCTAATTTACATATAACCTAAGTGGTGCCAGGACTATCAACACACACTCGTAATCTCAGCCCTGGGGAAGCTGAAGTAGGATGACCATAAGCGTGAGGTCAGTCTGGCCTACACAGAGTTCTGGGTCAGTGTGGGCTATGAAACTCTACCTCAAAACCCAAGGGAAAAAATGATTCTAAGTATATTAATAGCCACTCACCTCTCTGAAAATTTATGTCCAAATGAGATCCAATCTTTTTCTATTAAAACCTTAACAGGAAAAAGTAAAAATTCACTTTATAACTATTTATAACAGAACACAACAAAAACTACAAACAAAAAAACAGCCAGAACTCAAGTTAGAGATAGGGCTAAAGAACAGTAGAAAAAGAAAAAAAACACACAAAAAGAGTAATTTCATGACTAATTCAGTTGTATTTATACATTCTTAACTGAAGAGTGCACACTATAAAGCAGTATTACACTAAAAATTTTGTACATTAAAGATGACACAAGAAGCCTACTCTAAGAAATAGAAACTAAAATGTTAACAAGAGTTGACTCTGAGTAGAGATGAAGGAAGAGTTTTAAACTTTTTGGATCACTTGTACATTACTTGCAGAAGCTTTTTTTTCTGGAATTATGTTTCTTGAAGTGATTAAAAAGAACGAACATTGGGTATGGTGATAATCCCTGCACTGAGGAGGCTGAGGCAGGAGGAGTTTAAATTTGAGGCCAACCTGGGCTACATAGCAAAATCCAGTCTCATTCATAAATAAATAAGACCAATGAAAACAAATTCAAATCCAAATGTTATGTATCTACCCTCCTACATGAAATGTTTCCTCTGTCAAAGCTTCTCTACTTATCAAACTCACTGAAATATGTATTTTATATTTTCTTTCATTAGCTTCTATTAGTTTTACAAGGGAAGTTTCATTCTGACATATCCATATTTGTTTACAAGGTACCCTAATCATATTTACGCCCTCCATTGCTCTCCTTCCTTCTCTCCCTACTTGTTAAAACAATTTCAACAGGTTTCATTATTCTATTCTCCTACATGCATGAAGTACTTCAATCATATTTGCCATCCTTCACCTTCACATTTCTTTCTTTTCTATGTCCACAAGATCCAGAATAGTGTCTGGCACACAGTATGTGCTCACTAAAGGTTTGATACATGATTAATTAATTTACCTGGAAATTCTGCTTTTCTATCAACCTTCTTTTATGTCAGAGAGGCTTATAGGACTAACTTGCCATCTATGGCTCACACCTGTAATCCTAGCTACTCAGGAAGCTGAGATCTGAGGACTGGAGTTTGAAGCCAATCTGGGCAGAAAAGTCCAGAGACTCTTAATATCAATTAATCAGCCAAAAAAGCCAGAAGTGAAGGCACAGCTCAAGTGGTAGAGGCCCTGAGTTCAAGCACCAGTACCAGCATAAACAAATACAAAGCAAAACTATTGAAGAAAAGTTCTGGCCCAAATCAGAGGCTAGAGCAGATTCTGGTGAAGGATTTCACCCCTGAAGCAGCCAGGGAAGATAGGGGGCACCAAGAGTTTTAGAAATGTGTGTGTGTGTGTGTGTGTGTGTGTGTGTGTGTGTGTGTCCACAGTGTGTGTGTGTGTGTGTGTGTGTGTGTGTGTGTGTGTGTGTGTGTGTGTGTGTGTGTGTGTGTGTGTGTGTGTGTGTGTGTGTGTGTGTGTGTGTGTGTGTGTGTGTGTGTGTGTCCACAGCTCCACTTCCAGCTTTTTGACAGTTGACTGGAGATACGAGTTTCATAAACTTTCCTGCCCAGGCTAGCTCATTAGCTTATGAACTACAATCTTCAGAGTTCAGCCTCCTGAGTAGCTAGGATTACAGATATGAGCCAATCAACGCTCCGCTTTGTGATTTTATTCCAATGCCTGGCAAACAACTGGAACCATATATGAAAAGAAAAACATAACTTATACTCCAAAAGTTGAACAATATTAGCTGTTTTCTTATTTGCATTTAGTCTGTCCCAAACTCAACATGTTAACAGCACAAAATAATAATAGTGCTGAAAAAGGGCTGGGGATTTTAAATCTTCCCTAGCTTTAACATAACACTGTATTTAATTATTGTATACTTAGGAAAAGTGTCTAATATCTTTTATTCACCATATATTAACAAAATTTGAAAGTTAATCTGATCATAAGCTATACTCAAAAAGCCAAACATGTATGGTTGTGCTCATATGCAGAATCTAGACCTAAAAGACATATATTTGTGGACATGTATATATAATATCTATAATGCCATTTCCACAAATATATGTATATATGAATATATATAAATAGATGTAAGTATATATATATATATGTACTTATAAACATACACACAGAGAACATGATTGTAACTATGGGATTATTTAGGAGGAAAGAAAAGGGAAAGGGAAAAAGAAGGATGGAAGGGAAGGAGTGACACTAATCAAGAAGCATTGTACTTATAACCTGAGTTGTGGAACTGTAACTTCTTTGAACAATTAATAATAATTCAAAAAAGAAAGCTAAATAATTTCTAAATACACTGCAACTATATGTGAAAGATGGCATAAGGAATCTTGACCAATAGGAGGTTGGGGTAGGAAAAAAGAAAGCAACAGAGAAGATTATTCTGAGCAAACTAAAAACAATGAATGACAAGAAAGTAAAGTAGGCTGATAGGGGCATCCTTAGGAGTGGGGAGGGCAAACAGAAAGGCTGAACTAGGATGAATATGGTAAAAGTAGTTTGTATGCATGTATGAAAACAGAACAATGAAACATACTGCAACTGTTTCAAGCAGGGAAAGTGGGATGCAAGAAAGTGATAGAGGGATGATGTTGATCATAATATACCATATACACATGTAAAAGTGTCACAATAAAATCCTCCCTTGTACAACCAAAGTCGGCTACCAGGAAAGTTAGCTGGTAAATTAGCAAGTCAATTAACAAATACATTTTCAGAAAATTTTTGATAATGAAAAAAATTTTTAAAGGGAAAGCCGGGTGCTGGTGGCTCACGCCTGTAATCCTAGCTACTCAGGAGGCTGAGATCTGAGGATCGCGGTTCAAAGCCAGCCCAGGCAGGAGAGACCGTGAGACTCCTATCTCCAATAAACCACCAGAAAACCGGAAGTGGCGCTGTAGCTCAAGTGGTAGAGCGCTCACCTTGAGCTGAAGAGCTGAGGGACAGCACCCAGGCCCAGAGTTCAAGCCTCACGACCGACAAAAAAAAATTTTTTAAGGGAAAAAAATGTCCCATTTATGTCCTGAAAAAAAGTTGACCTTGGGTTGGGAAGTTGGCTCAGTGGTAGAGTGCTTGCCTTGCGTGCATGAGACCATAGGTTCAATTCCTCAGCACCACATAAGCAGAAAAAGCTGGAAGTGGTGCTAGTGGTAGAGTGCTAGTCTTGAGCTGAAGAGCTGAGGGTCAGTGCCCAGGCCCGGAGTTCAGGCCCCACAATCGACAAAAAAAAAAACAAAAAAAAAAAAGTTAACCTGATCAGACATTAAAAATCAAACAAACAACATCAGCTGGAGCTTTATCGTCACAATGGAAAAAAATCTGTTCAAAAAGAATTTTAAGCTTCACAAATAAAATATGTCTACCATGTTATTATACTTAATGAATGGAAGTATTTTAAGTAGAAAATTCCATCTAGAATATAGCTTTCAAGTATTCTTATTTATGCCTTCTTGTTAGTATGTTATTTTTATAGATAAAAATGAGAAAATCTGAGTATTTCTATAGATACATTTTAGAGGTGGGAAAAAGGAAAGGCTTTTAAATCTTTATTTTTGCCACAGATACAGAAACCAGTATGACTCAAGGTATCTCAGCCTCAGCAGTACTGACGTTTTAGGCCAGATAATTCTTTGTTATAGGGCCATCCTGTGCATGACATGATGCTTATTACCACTGTCTACCAGCTGTACCACTTCTACCAGCTGTACCACTGCTTTTAGTGTCTCCAAACATTGCCAAATGTCCTCTGGGGGAACAGAATCACTCCTGTCCAAGAACTATTGGCCTAAAACAATACATCCTTACCATGAATCCTTTAATTGTCCTGTAGTAGGAGTCCAATAAAAGTGAACCAAGGGAACAGACTTGGGAGGTCCTATCCCAACCGTCTGAGCAATGTACCAACACACTTGCATTTTCAAGCACTATTGCCTGAAAAGAAAGATAACATGCTTAGATTCAAACAGAATGCCTTTTACACATATCAGTAAATCTATTTACTTGAAAATCTATCAAGCATTGTATTTTTTTAAAGTACTCTACCTGCAGTAATAATGTTACTATAGCATAATTCAAAAGAAAAAGAAAAAAAAACAGATATAGACAAGAATGTTTCAAAGAATTTGAGGATTTTAAGCATTTAGGGTAAGTGCCCCATGTTTTTAAAGCTCAAATTCAAGTGACCCAGAGTCAAAAACCAATGCCCAACAGGATAAATCCACCCCTTCATAACCAATTTAAGCCTCCAAATCAAGTATGAGAGATAAAGTTACTTTGGCTAAGAAGATTGCAGCATCCATAACAGCCTTGATATGGCGAAGCCATCCCGAGCTCTCCAAACCAGAATAGAAATCATTGACAGAGAGCCCTTTGGTACCATTCACTAAAAAAAAAAATAGAGGTAAAAAAAATTCAGTAAGAATGAGACAAGAGGATAATACGGTCCAAAAAGAAATACACTCTCTACCTCACTTATGTAATTATAAACCCTTTATGCATCACCTTTATAATAATAAAAAATTAAATTAAAAAATAAAGAATGAGGCTAGAAAGTTTCTACTTGTCTTATAGATCTTTCAAGGTGAGAAAATTGAGAAAGGAAAGGATAAAATAAATATGCAAGAATTTTTACAAAAAAAATATGTTATTATCCCCTCTGTACAGTATTTTCACAATAAAAAAAGAAGTATGTTATTATTAGAATCTTAACAATTTGTTGGGTACACTTTTCTGTCCTTCCTTATGTGTTAAAAAAGTTCTAATACTGTTTAAAGCAATGTAAGAAATGTTTAATTAACATTTCATATTTTTAATTTTTAATTCTAAGTCATAATTGGAAAGATACCTTAATATTTAAGTGACAGTAACATAAATATCCATTGTAATGATTACTCAAGAATCTCTTAATAACAAGTTTTTTAATAAAGCCATTAGAATTGTATTAATTAATAGATACTACCCAAATGTAGCTGCTGCAATGTGACCAGGTCAAAGTGAGATGCATTACAAATGTAAAATACACAACTGAGTTCTAAGACAATGAAAAGTACAATATCAATATTTTATACTGAATACATGTTAAAATTTTAATATAGTAAGAGACTATATAAACAATTTGACATGCTTATTTTTTAATGCAGCTTCTGGAAATTTTAAAATTATATGAGAGGGCTGGGAAGGCGGCTCAGTGGTAAAGTGCTTGCCTTGCATGCCAGAGGCCTTGGGTTCGATTCCTCAGCACCACATAAGCAAAAAGAAAAACAGCCGGAAGTGGCGCTGTGGCTCAAGTGGTAGACTGCTAGCCTTGAGCTGAAGAGCTGAGGGACAGTGCCCACGCCCCAGAGTTCAGGCCCCACGACCGGACCCAAAAAAAATAAAAAAATAAAATTATATGAGATAAGTATTGTATTGTATTTCCATTGGACAGAGATATCTAAAAAGTAAAGCAATAATCATACCTTCCAACAATTTCTGAAGGCTGGATCTCATTACATGAATATTTTCTATTCCAACAAACTGAAATCTAATATTAGAATAGTTGTCTTCATTTTCATAACCTTTTCCAGCTGCTCTGTTGGCTATTGCATTCAGCTAAAATTTAAAATGTTAGACATTGAGAATCAAATTACTTTTATCTTTAAAATTAACTTACCAAAATGTCATAAAATCACTACATAAGCCACATTTTAGCAAGAAGAGAACTTAAAGGTACTCATCAAAACTGAACATATTATCTGTTTTTTTTAAATAGGCAAGAATGTCACCTTATCAAAATACAAATAAAGTAATGATATGGCTGTTATGTAAAGGAAAATCTAGACAGGAAGTATCCACAAGTTCAAAAAACTATGTTTTTCGTCAGTTTCCCATATGTCCATCTCAATCTTAAATGACTTAAGAGTTAAGTAGAGTTGGAGAGCTTTTCATTTATAGAGTCAAACTGAGATTCACTTCTGAACAAGACTTGAAATCCCAAGGGGCCTGCAAATCCCATCTGAGATATGTCTATAGATTGAGGTCCACATGTCAGACATTACTGAAGGCGATGCAACTGTTTACAAAAGCACATACTTCACTAGCCTGATATACCTTTAAGAAATGGATAAAAAATGAACTTGTCTCTAGAGAAAATAGATTGCCATGGCATTCATTATTAGACCATATTATGAGAGGTTCTGTGAGCATTTGGTATGCTTACTTTTTTCATAATGTGGTTTCCGATTTCATATAGTATGTTATAACAATTTATGAGGGTTATCTCATGAACATGGATAAAAATAAAATCTAAAACTAGAAGAGAAAACCCTTTCATTCTCTAGATGGGGGCTCTAAGTTTGTAACAAGTATAGTTAAGTTATATCTAGTGACTTACTAGTTCACTGAGCACCTTTAAAGATACTAAGGCAAATTAAGAGTGCTTAATTATTACTACTCAATAGCTTAGAAAAGCAAAGAAAGATATATTTTCTATGTAGAAGACAATTATTCATACAAATCACAATCAGACTTCATCTTCCAAAAGTTTGAGATTGCTAAGTGTGGCAGCTCAAGCCTGTAACCCTAGCTACTTGGGAGGCAGTTATTGGGGGATTGTGGTTCAAAAGCCAGCCTGGACAAGAAAAAAAGTTCACAAGACTCCATCTAAACCAATAGCTAGGTGCAGTGTTGCATGCCTGTTGTCCCTAGCCATGTGGGGAATAACTAGGAAGATCAGAGTCCGCCAGCCTTGGTAATAAAGCAACATCCTTAAGAGTTATCAATGCAAAAAGGGCATGTGGAATGGCTTAAGTAGTAAAACACCTGCCTAGCAAGCACTAGGCTCTAAGTTCAATACTCAGTACCACCTTTCAAAAAGTTTTGTATTACAATCACATCTTATATCTAACATTAACTATTAATTAATCAATCCAGGTTATACAGAGTAGAATGACATTTTTCTTTTTTTCTTTTCTTTTTTTTTTGTTAGTTATGGGGCTTGAATCTGGGCTTGGGCGCTGTCCCTGTGCTCTTCAGTTCAAGGTGAGCGCTCCACCAATTGAGCCACAATATCACTTCTGGTTTTCTGGTGGTTAATTGGAGTTAGTCTCACAGACTTTCCTGCCTGGGCTGGCTATGAACCTTGATCCTCAGATCTCAGCCTCCTGAGTAGCTAGGATTACAGGCGTGAGCCACCAGCACTCAGCAAAATTTTTCTTATAGAAGACATCACCAACACTTAACTCGTAGGAAAAGTCTTTTTTAAACAAGAGATGATAAATCACCAATTTCTAATTGTTACTATTTCCTACATACTGTTTCAAATGACTCTCATCTTCTGTTTCTCTGTCATCTCATCTAATGATGAAAATGACTCTAAAGCAACTATAATTCCCTCTGCAAGCTGCCTAAAATTGATTGTGTTCTATTTTGCTCACTCGCTTTTTCTCATCGCTTTCTCTTATTTTCTCATCATTCCAGATTTTTGAAGAAATCCTCACTATAATTCTGCCAATGTCCTTTTGTGTATCCCACCAGCTCTGCATGCGATGCTATAATAAAAATTAAAAGCAAAGTTAGCTATTACCATTTTAGATTTTAATGACTTTAACTGCAGGTCCTACATGTATTGGCTGCTTAACTGTGCTCATAAAAATTAAAAAGGATTCTGACTTGGTCCCAGTGGTAAAAATTTATAGCCTTATACCATAGGTGTTTTATAGAAGAACAATTTCCTGTCATTATTTTTAATGCTCTTGTTCAATGTTTCCTAGGTTAATTCACTGTTGTTACTTATTAAGATCTTATTATTTTAAAGCAAAGTATTTCACATTAAGAATGACATTAAAATTATAATTTAAAAATTTTCACAATACACAGTATTTCTTCACAATAACATAAGGTTTATACACTACCAAGAGTTCCCAGGGCTGGGTAGGTGGCTCAGTAGTAGAGTGCTTGCCTTGCATGCATGAGGCCCTGGGTTCGATTCCTTAGCACCACATAAGCAGAAAAATCTGGAAGTGGTGCTGTGGCTCAAGTGGTAGAGTGCTAGCCTTGAGCTGAAGAGCTGAGGGACAGTGCCCAGAGTTTGGGCTCCACGACGGGGTAGGGGTGGGGGGAGTTCCAATATGTCTTGGCACTGGTGAGGACTGCAGTTCGAAGCCAAACCAGGAAGGCAAGTCTGTGAGACTATTAATCACCAAAAGGCTGGAAATGGAGATATGGCTCAAGTGGTAAAGTGAAAAAGCTAAAGGACAGCACTCTGGCCTTCAGTACCAGTGCATGTACATGCACATGCACACATATACATACATATAATTATATATGTAGTACATGAATATATATACATATATACACACATATATAATACATATATATTGAATTCAGTTTTCTTAAAGTTATATAAATATATACCAAAAAAACATAATTTGCCACTGAATTATTGAGAACTGGTCTTCTAAGTTGGTATTCCTTAAAGGACTAATTTCTTTTGTATCATTAGCTTCCATTTATTTCAAACCAGGATTAAAGCAATTAAAGATAATGACATGAGCAGACTGCATGTATTTAAAATACATACTTTGGGCCTGGTATCCACAACGTACATGTAACGATTGACTGGGTTGGCTTTACTAATGGCTTGAAGCAAATGTTCATCTTCCAGACACCGGGCACTGAATCCTGACAGTGGCTGACTGCATCGACATATGGCAGCCTAATTTTAAAAAGACAGAAAACATATTATATAAAGATCTCTAAAATATGACTCAAAAATGCTTGAAATAAATGTCATCTATTTAAAAGTAAGATCACTAGAAGGTATTAAGTGTGAAATCTGATTTCATTAAATTCTATTTCAATACCTTGAGGTTCCCTAAGTTTTCCCAATATCTTCTAAGAAAAGATATGACTCAAGCAGTACAGTGTCTGCTTAACAACACAAGCCTCTGAACTCAAGCCACAGTACTCCCTAAAACGTAAGTGAAAGTCTCCACGTCAGTGGCTCACACCTGTAATCCTAGCTACTGAGATTGAGGGTCATGGTTTGAAGCCAGCCTACCCAGTAATTCCAAGGGACTATTTCCAATATTGAATACTACTCAGAGTATTACAAGTCAGGATACCATAAGGACATTTTCACATCCATGTTCACTGCTGCACTATTAACAACAGCCAAGTTATGGAAACAACCCAGATGCCCTACAAGAGATGAGTGAATCAAAAAAAAATGTGGTACTTATACACAATGGGATTTTACTTATCCATTAGAATGAACATTATGCCATTTGGAAGGAAATGGACGAACCTAGAACAAATCATGTTATGTGAGGTAAGCCAAGCTCAAAGAGATAAATGGTTTATGTTTTCTCTCATATGAGAAAGCTAGATATAAAATACAACTGGACATGATAATTCACAAAGAGCTTTAAGCATTTACAAACAAATAAATTGACTAAAGGAAGGAGAAGTCACCCAAAGGTGTAACTTCTCTGAACATCTAAAGTACTATATATCAAAATGAATTTCATGCTTTTTGTTGTTATTTTCCATAGTTGTTGTTGTTGGAGGTGGGGGGGGGGGCAAAAGGAGGACATGGGAATGGAGGGAGGAAGGAGGAACAAATGCAGCCATTGTATTCAAAAAATGCACTACTCAACCTGTGGCAGGGACTGCAGGGGAAAAATGGAAGAAACCAAAGGAAGCTATGGCATTGTCCAAGAAGCACCATACTCATTCTTCGACATATGAAACTGTAACCCCTTTGTACAACTCCTTGATAATAACAACTTTTTTAAAAGGCCCGGTGCCAGTGGCTCGTGCCAGTAATCTTACTCAGGCATGAGATCTGAGGACTGAGGTTCAAAACGAGAGGTGGGGGTGGGGAGGAGAAGAGAAGAGGACAGGACAGGACAGGACAGGGAAAAGGACAGGACAAGGGAAAGGAAAGGGAAAGGGAAAGGGGAAGGGAAGGGAAGGGAAGGGAAGGGAAGGGAGAGAGGAAAAGAGAGAGGCGAAAGGAAGGAAGGAAGGAAATAAATAATAAATGTGGTACATATGTACCATAGACTTGATTAGAAAGAATGTCATTTGTAGAGAAATGGATGAATCTAAAAAAAAAAATCATGTTAAGCCAGCCAGCCTGAGATAAATGCTGCATGTTTTAGATCCTATGTGGAAGCTAGATCTAAAATATAAATATGAATAACAACATGTACAAGGCTCAATGCATTTACACACAAACACACTGACAAAAGGTATACTTAGAGGTAGAACTCCTCTGAACAACTAATGTACTGTTTATCAAAATGAATCCCAGGAAGTCAAAACATGTTTTGGGGGTATATAGTAAAAAGGGGAGTACAGAAATGGAGGAAGGAGAGGTGTGCAAATGCAGTCGTTATCTTTTTTTTTTTGCTGGTCGTGGAGCCTGAACTCTGGGCCTGGGCACTGTCCCTCAGCTCTTCAGCTCAAGGCTAGTTAGTGCTCTACTACTTGAGGCACAGTGCCACTTCCGGCTTTTTCTGCTTATGTGGTGCTGAGGAATCGAACCCAGGGCCTCATGCATCCAAGACAAGCACTCTACCACTGAGCCAATTACCCAGCACCGCAGTCGTTATCTTTAATGCACATTATGTAAAATTTAACTATATAACTTGAGGGTAGAAATCAGAGGGGGGAAAATGTGGAAGAATGAATGAAGAGGTGACATTGACCAAAAAGCATTGTACTCATAACTGAACATATAGAATTATAATCCTTTTGTACAACTACTTAATAATAACCTGTAAAATTTTTAAAATTTAAAAAAGTAAGAGGTAATTAGCAGAACCTCCCCCTATGAAGAATATGTACATAGGGAATATTTAGCATGCAATAGCTTTTAGCCTATATTGTAAGTAGGCTAAAAAGACTAAGTTTTATTGCAATGAGTAATCCCTATACCTCCAATCCTGGAGGTGTAGATCAATTGTGGCACACTTTTTTATTATGTACAAAAAACTAGATTTGATCCCCAACAACACATACATACAAACATACATACACATACATACCACTAATAGTATCTCAGTATGAACATGCTTCCTTTCTACTGCTTTCATTGAAAACTTTCAATCTTAAGAGCTTTCTAATAAAATGGAAACCTTCAATGCCCTTGGTTGTCAAACTATCTGCTCTCCCACAGACAGACTACAAAGAGAAAAGAAAGAAAAACTTATCTGTTCACTAATTCAATTATTTTCCAGTCACTACTGAGAGGAAAAGGAATGATAAGGAAGATATAAAGTATGAACCTTCCTTTATTTCAGGGTAGTTTTATATTATAACTTCAAAAATGTAACTAAGTGAAAAGCCAGTGTATTTCTTTACAAAACTCCAAACAAAAGGTTCCTACCTTTTTGTCTTGATGATAGTAGGAAAGAACTGGGAATCTTCCCTTGCTCCGGAACTTGGAACTCCCAACAATTATTGGTTTGCTTGCTATCCAGGGTACATAAAGTTCCCTGGGGTAAGTTTCACAAATCTGCAAATAGCAAAACAAATAACTACTTGATTCACGGTTTAAAAATCATGAGATTTTAAAAAATTCCAAAACTTTAAAAACTCAAATGCAAGAACAGTTGTATATAGACAAATAGCACAATAAAGTATTGGAGGCATGGCTCGGGTGGTAGAGATTCAGCCAGCCAAAGAGTGAAAGCATCAGACTAAGAATTCATTCAAATTCCAGGCTTGAACAAAAAAAAAAAGAAAGGAAGGAAGGAAAGAAAAAGGAAAAAGAAAGAAATACCATAACATGGCTCTTTGTACAATTAGTATATAGTAGCTTAAAAAAATCTTAAGAAAAGCATGCTACAGTTCAGAGCACTTGCTACTATGACCCTTTCTCTCTGGTCCTAACATCTTCTGAGTTTCTCCCAAAGGCAGTAAGTTACCTTGTATTCTCTGTTGGCATCAGACAACTGCCAGTGTGAATTTGGCACTCCCATCCTCTTATATTCCTCAGCAAGGTCAATGAGGTGCCAACCTTGTAGCCGTTCTGAATCATTTTGTTTAGGATTATAAGAAAATGCATAGAGATCTTCATATTTTGCTACAGAATACAAAACACAAAACATTAATAATACACTATAAATAATACCTAATACACTACAAATAAAATTTTTTTCTTTAAAACCTTCAGAGAGATAATATGTGAACATTCTTTTTTTTTTGGGGGGGGGGGGGTCCGGTCGTGGGGCCTGACCTCTGGGCCTGGGCGCTGTCCCTCAGCTCTTCAGCTCAAGGCTAGCACTCTACCACTTGAGCCATAGTGCCACTTCCGGCTTTTTTCTTTTTGCTTATGTGGTGCTGAGGAATCGAACCCAGGGCCTCAGGCATGCAAGGCAAGCGCTCTACCACTGAGCCACCTTCCCAGCCCTATGTGAACATTCTTGAATTAAGTATTTTCTAAATTCTGTAATGCAAATGATTACATCAAAAAGGCATACACATGATTCATTTAATCTGAGATTTAATTCCAAAGTTAAGGTTAATAAAGAATACAATTAGACTTGTATGCTAAATTCTGTATTGAAATTTTTCTTTTCTTAAATGTTAACTAAAAAATATATTCTTCCTATATACCCCTTTCCCAACATGAGATATGAAACAAAAACTGATACTAAAGCAATAAACTAGAGCTGATAAGGAACAATGGCAATGTCCATGATCCCAGCATTTAGGAGGCTGAGACATAAGATTGCAAGTTCAAAGTCATTTTGGCTATACAGTGAGGCCCTATCTAAAAAAAATAAACAAAAAACTTAGAATTGCCAGGCGCCACTGGTTTATGCCTGTTACCCTAGCTACTGGGGAACTAAGATCTGCAGATCATGGTTTGAAGACAGCCCATGCAGTAAAGCCCATGAGACTCTTATCTCCAATTAACCACCAAAAAGCCAGAAGTGGAGCTGTGGCTCAAGTGATAGAATGATAGCCTTGAGCACAAAAGCTCGGATAGTACCAAGGCCCAGAGTTCAAGTCCCAAGACCACCACAAAACAAAAACAAAAACCACTTAGAACTCTAGAGATGGCATACAGTACATGCTCTGTGCTGAGAAAAGATAAGTGAACATAAACCTGTTCTTAGAAACCCACTATTGAAATGTGCAATTTGTTGTCAAGAAGCTTTAAAAATGTTAACATAAATCTATGGTTCCTTTGGTCTACTATAAATGATTTATTATCCTTACTATTACCCTTACTTTGGATACCTTTCTTACAATTTAGATCAGTAGTTTCTAATTATGTCTAGCCCATTTTGGGGAATGGAGAGTACACAAGAACTTGACTACCAGAATAACAAAGTATGAAATACTAATGAGATCTTAAAAGTGTCTTGGAAAACCCTTTACAAATTTAGCATGCATGTTTCAGGCCCTAAGTACCATACCTTGTTTTGACAGTTGCAGTAGAGAGTTATAGATATCGTGGCAATCTCTTTCCCTGGGAACAATGAAATGCACAGTCCTGAAATTCTTGCACTGAATCACAAGTGGGCATCCAGAAGTAGTCAAAGCAAGTTTCTCCACTGAGGCAATATGGTGATGTAATATCTACAGCATTAAAAAAAAATTAAGAAACCAATGCAGAAAGGACTTAAAATTTATTTTCTTTCAGAATACATAAATATTAAGAATGCCTTCCTCAAATAAAGTAAAAAATGTTATTTGGTGCACACTCATACTTAATATATCCAATAGCTTAATGTTTAAGCCAGAAATATGGGAGTCATCTGAGTGGATTAAAAAGTCCTACTATAAACTCAGTATCTTGATGGTATTTTAAATGTATGATTACCATTCTTACTGCTACCAATAATACTTTACTACTAAAAACGTCTTTGTCAGTTAGGTACCGTGGCTCAGGCCTATAATCCTAACTACTCGGAGGCAGAGATTGGGGGATTGTGATTTGAGACTAGTCCAGGCATAAAAGTTCACAAGACTCAACAAAGCTAGGCACATGGTAGAGACAATACGAGCCTATCATCTCAAACTAAGGAGGAAGCAAAATAGGTAGGCATAGTGGTATAAGCCTGTAATCCAAGCAACAAAAGGGAAGCAAATGCCAGTATCAAAGTCTAGGATGACTCAATAAAATGAAACACTAACTTAAAAATAATCATCATAAGGCTGGGAATGTGGCTTATGATAGAGTGCTTCCCTAGCATGCAAGAAGCCCTGAGTTTCATTCCTTTGTACCACATAAACAGAAAAAGCTGTAAGTGGTGCTCATATTAAAGGATTAATTCGCAGAATGGTTCTAATTGTAGTGCTCCTGCCTAACAAGTATGAGGCTCTGGATTCAAATCCCAATACTGACCCCAAAAAGTCTATTTTTCTCAATATTATTTTTTATTAATTTTGGAAAGGTGACATTAATCAAGATGCACTGTATTCATAAACATGTTGAATTACAACCCTTTATAAAACTACTTAAACATGGGGCTGGGAAGGTGGCTCAGTGGTAAAGCGCTTGCCTTGCATGCTTGAGGCCCTGGGTTCGATTCCTCAGCACCCATAAGCAAAAAAAAAAAAAAAAGCCGGAAGTGGTGCTGTGGCTCAAGTGGTAGAGCGCTCGCTAGCCTTGAGCTGAAGAGGTGAGGGGCAGCGCCCAGGCTCAGAGTTCAGGCCCACGACCGGACCCAAAATAAAAAACTACTTAAACACAGTAAGAGGAAAAGAAAAGGGAAAAAAAAAAAGGAAAAAAATTGTTGGGAAAAAAGTTGCTGGAAAAAAAAAAGGCTGGCTCATGCCTATAATCCTAGCTATTCAGAAAGGTGAGACCTGAGGATCACAGTTTAAAACCAGCCAGAACAAGAAAGTCCATGAGATGCTTATCTCCAATTAACCACAAGAAAACCAGAAGTGGTGCTGTGGCTCTATATGGTAGAGTGCTAGCCTTGAGCAAAAGAGCTCTGAGTTAAAAAAAAAATTCTGCCTGACACTGCTAAGATCTGAGGATCACAGTTTGAAGCCAGCCTGGGCAAACAGATCTGAGAGACTCATTTATCTCCAATTAACCAGCAAAGAGCCACAACTGGAGGCATAGCTAAAGTGGTAAAGCACCAGCCATGAGTAAGCTAAGTGGGAGCACAGGACCTTGAATCCAAGTTCCAATTATGTCTCTCTCTCTCTCTCTCTCTCTCTCTCACACACACACACACACACAATAAATTTAAATAAAATATACACAAAAATATAAAAAAGACAAGCCATACACTTAAATAATGACATACATATATGACAAAGTATTAAGATACAGAATTCTTATAAAATCAATAAAAAAATAGCATTGGGGAGGTAGCTCAGTGGTACAGCACTTGCCCAGCACGTGCAAGGTTCTGAGTACAATTATCTACACCACAAACACAAATCAATAAAAACAAGAGATAATAGAAAAAGAAAAGAAAACCCAATAACTGGACAGAAAGATAGAAGAACCAATAGAGACAGAAAGGAAAATGTCTTAGCCATCAGCAAGTTAACAACACAATTGTACAACCAAATACACAGACAAAAGTCTTTAAGTAGATAATGGCAATGTTGTAAAACATTGAGGTAAAACAATGTAAAATATCCTGAGGATAATTCCAAAACATCATTTAATATACATATTTAAACATATTATCCTTAAATGAATATGTAAGTATATTACAGCTGTATATAAGTATATAATTAACATTACATTATATACAAAATCAGTATATTATATATTACACTTATCCAAGACCTGTTACTCCCAGGCAAATATCTAAGATAAACTCTAAAACAGCTAGCTAGCTAGCTATACAAATAAAAGATGTTTACAGTATTAACTTTTCAACATCACGTGATTTAGAGGCACCAAAATGCCTACCCAGTCAGAAACCCAACTGTAACTTTTGGCTCTTCAAAACCTTCACTATTAATAACCTGCTGATGACTGGACGTAAGTAAACATTACTAATAAATCAGTGACTAATGCATATTTTATATTGCATACATTACAAGCAGTGAAAGGTAAGAATGACATCATTTTTACACTATGCAATTTCCTAAAGACAGGCATGAACTGTATCTTTTGCTGTTTTGATTTTTTGATTTTTGCTTTTGCCATACTAAGGGTTGACCCCAGGGCATTGACATGGCTATACCTGGCAAATGCCCTTCCATTTGAGCTACACCTCCAGCTCTTCGATAGTTTGTTTCAGAGACAGGGTATTCCCACTACCTTTACCCAGGCACTTGTGATCCTCCTACTTCTACCTGTAAGTACTAAGATTACAGACACACACAACCACATCCAGCCACTACTCAGTATTTGAAGTGGATACTCACAACACTTGAGCTCATACAATAACAATGGATGTGGTGACAAAATTATTACAGTAATACAGTATATAGTATACTATATGCAGCAATGATTTAATATCGCATGCTTACATTTCTCTATTATCTGTGCCTGTGTCAATTTTGATAAATTTTAACTATAATAGGTTTATATTTTATGGCAGTAAAAGACAAAATTACCTGCATACATTTAAGCATCCATGACAAACTTTTCATTGATTTATTTGATATTTGCATACTACTTATAACATTATTTTTTCAAAGTAACAAATCTCAAGAACAAAGTCAGCATATAAGTGGAACCATACAGATCAAATCCAGTCAGTATATTATTTGAGTCAACTATAGACTGTATTATACATACATTTTCATATATATTTATTTGTATAAATATGAAATGCTTGGCCTATCATATATATTGTAATCTTTATAGTAACAAAACCTCATAAACACTATAATTCTAATTCCATATAAAAATACTGAAATATACTAAATAATCGATTCAATCTGTTAATATATTTCAATTTTTAAAAACTAAAAGTTAACAAGCAGGTATTTTCAATTATTTGGAGGTAAAGAATCTGGTACCCTACAGAATTCCATATTACTCATACATCACTGATTATAGAACGAAGTTCTGGAGTGACTGAAAATATTTTTCTTGAGTATTATAGTTGTATACCTATAATCCGAGCACTCCAAAGGTAGAGGCAGGATAACTGCATGTTGGAAAGTGGCTGAGCAACACAGAGTTGGAGGCCAGCCTGAATTATATAATGAGATCCTGTCTCAAAAAAACTTTTTTTGTTTTGAAGTAAGTAACAATGATTAAGATTTCTGTTATATATGTATTTATATTGTTATATATATTATATTGTATATATTTGTATTTTGAACATATATATATTCAAAATAAACCAACAGTAGATCAGTCCATTTTTAGTACTATGGCAAACATTCCTTACCCAGGTTTCTTTTTGATGAGAGTCAATAAATAATAGATGTGTGGCTGTAAGATACAGTGTTCCCGTTAATGATTTGTTGCTGGTACTGAATCGGTCAAGTAATTTTACTTGTTCAACCTAAAAAAGAAAAAGATTTTTATTTTTCATTTCAAAAGCAGTACAAATAATAGTTCTTTTTTTTTTGGGGGGGGGGGGTCCGGTCCTGGGGCCTGAACTCTGGGCCTGAGCGCTGTCCCTCAGCTCTTCAGCTCAAGGCTCTACCACTTGAGCCACAGCGCCACTTCCGGCTTTTTTCTTTTTGCTTATGTGGTGCTGAGGAATCGAACCCAGGGCCTTGAGCATGCAAGGCGAGTGCTCTATCACTGAGCCACCTTCCCAGCCCCAAATAATAGTTCTTTTTAAAATCCCAGGATCCATATGCATCATTTTCAATTTTCTCTTCAGTTTGTGGTGAAATATAAGCCTTATTTAATGCTGAATGTTCAATTTAATCTACCTTTTGAGGGGACATGTATGTCACAAATAACATAGATATTCTCTCATTACAAAATGTAACCAATATGGAAGAAGGCTAGAAACATATCAACATTAACAGTAAGAAGAGCAAGAAAAAGTCATGAGTATGAATAAGCAAAAAGTTTTTGTATCCCTGAGTCCTTTATCTGAGGTTTAAAAAATCAAGGATCACAATTCTAAGCCAGGCAGGAAAGTCCCCAAGACTCCACATGCAAATTAACCAGCAAAAAGCTAGACTGAGCTGGGCGCTGGTGGCTCACGCCTCTAATCTTAGCTACTCAGGAGGCTGAGATCTGTGCTTCATGGTTCAAAGCCAGCCCGGACTTGGGTAGGAAAAGACTCTTTATCTCAAATAAACCACTCAGAAAACTGGAAGTGGTGCTGTGGCTCAAGTGGTAGAGTACTAGCCAACTTTAAAAAAATCTACTTATAGTTATAGCAGCAGGTCGTAAACAGTCTTTTAAATATTATAAACCTTCAAAACCAGAGAATTAACCATCTCATTGATTCTATTCTTTCCTCCCATATATATTTCCTTACATATTACTAAAAAAACAACAAAATATCCTCATTAAAAATTGTTTCCCCGGGGCTGGGAAGGTGGCTCAGTGGTAGAGCGCTTGCCTTGCATGCCTGAGGCCCTGAGTTCGATTCCTCAGCACCACATAAGCAAAAAGAAAAAAGCTGGAAGTGGCGCTGTGGCTCAAGTGGTAGAGTGCTAGCCTTGAGCTGAAGAGCTGAGGGACAGCGCTCAGGCCCAGAGTTCAGGCCCCACGACCGGACCCAAAAAAAAAAAAAAAAAAAAAAAAATTGTTTCCCCGAGGAAAAGTTAAGGAAAGAAAGGGTGACATTGTCCAAAACAGAAACGTACTCATGACCTGACGTACGAAATGGTTACCATTACAACACCATAATAACAATAAAAATCTATTTTAAAAAATCAATAAGACTGGTGAACGTCACTGTATATCCATTTGACAATCATCATTATAGCTAGTCAAAGAAAATTTAAAAGAATTCAATGCACAAAGGCACAACGCTTATGTGCTTCTGATCATACAAAATTGTATCTATCCAAATGAATTCCAGGAAATGGGAACAAGAGGTTTTCTCTCTGTTGACTTTCAGTTTCCTTTCTTTTTGTCTTATTTGTTCATTTATCTGTCTTTGGAAAGGTAAGGGGAAGCACAGAAATGGAGAGACAAAGAGTAAACAAATGCAGCAATGGTATTCACTAGACACCGTTAAAAATGGGTGGGCATGGGAGAGAAAAACTGGGAAGGAAGGTGTGACATTGTCCAAAAAGAAATGCTCTCTTTATCTGACTTTCTTAACTGTAACCCCTCTGTATATCACCTTTATGATAATAAAAAAAATTTTAGCCAGGCACTACAGTAGCTACTCAAAAGGCTGAGAGCTGAGGATTTCAGTTCAAAGCCAGCCTGGGCAGGAAAGTCTGTGAGACTCTTTATCTCCAATTAACCACCAGAAAACCAGAAGTGCACTGTGGCTCAAGTGGAAGAGTGCTCTCCTTGAGCTGAAGAGCTCAGGAACAGCACCCAGGCCCAGAGTTCAGGCCCTATGACCAACCAAAAAAAAATTTTTTTTAAGAATTTAATGTGGAACATTCTATGTGATGTAGTATGAAGTTTTAGAAATAGAATACAAAATTCTACACACACACACACACACACACACACACACACACACACACGATATATGGTCTTAAAATTTTTAAAAATAGGGGCTCAGTGGTACAGTGCTTGCCTTGCATGCATGAGGCCCTGAGTGATTCCTCAGTACCACATAAGCAGAAAAAGCCAGAAGTGGCGCTGTGGCTCAAGTGGTAGAGCTCTAGCCTAGAGCTGAAGAACTGAGGGACAGCACCCAGGCCCAGAGTTCAGGCCCCATGACTGGCAAAAGAATAATAATAAAAATAAATAAATGTATAGAGAAATAAATGTAGTGATTATCTTTCTGCAGTAAAATAGTTTTTTCTTATAATAACAAACACTGTTCACTAATTTTCTGTGATATTAGTGGAAAATAGATCATTGCTCATATGGAAAAAAATAATAAATCTTATTAAAACAAAAAATTGCCTCCAGGGGCTGGGAAGGTGGCTCAGTGGTAGAGCGCTTGCCTTGCATGCCTGAGGCCTGGGTTCGATTCCTCAGCACCACATAAGCAAAAAGAAAAAAGCCGGAAGTGGCGCTGTGGCTCAAGTGGTAGAACACTTGCCTTGAGCTGAAGAGCTCAGGGACGGCGCCCAAGCCCAGAGTTCAGGCCCCATGACCGGCAAAAATTTTAAAAAAAGAGAAAGAAAGACTGCATGGTTTCCCTTATTTGTGGTAGCTAGAATGTGACTATAAATCTATAAGTATATACACTAAGTGGTATGCAACTGATCGCAAATGAATTAAGTGAAGTATAATAGACTATCGAGAGCTCAAATAGTATTATCTTTTAGAAAGACTAGGTCAAAGCCCAACAAAATCAATACCAAGACATGGATACTTCCAAGAGGGGAGATGGGGCAAGGGGAGAGAGGAAAACAAATGAATGAGGAAAGTGGGGAGAATGCAGTAAAAAATTCATTGTATATACCACAAAACTAAGAAAAGCAAGAGAAGGGGTAGGTCAAAGGGGGTAAGGATGTTGAAGGGATGACACCAAAGATGCATTGTATTCATAAACTGTTTTGCTACTTGGCACCTCCTTTGTATAGCTACTTAAAGATCATTTAAAAATGACTTTTTAAAAATTTAGCTGGGCGTAAGTGGCCTGTAATATTAGCTTCTAAGGAGGTTGAGATCTGAGAATCACAATTTGAAGCTAGCTCAGACAGAAAAATCCATGAGATTCTTATTTCCAATTACCCAGAAAAAAGTCAAAAGTGGAGCTGTGGCTCAAGAGGGTAGAGTGCCAGACTTGAGAGGAAAAGCTAAGAGACAGCCCTTGATTTCTAGCCCAGACACACACACACACAAAAATTTATTTTTGATAAAAACTTGATTTGTAACATTCCAATGCTGAATTCACACTTTCCTCTGATACTAAGAAATAAAATTTAGTTAACTCTGTTCTAACAGTTAATCTGACATACAAAAAGTATCTGATCAGTATACTTTGATCTTTAAGAAAACAGTAGAGCTAAACATGGTGGTACATGTCTATAATCCCAGCATTTGGGAGGCTGAGGCAGAAGGATTATGAATTCAAGGCCAATTTATACAGTGAGACTCACTCATACATACACACACACACACACACACACACACACACACACAAAGTAAATTAAAGACGAATGGATCCAAAAAAATGTGGTACCTATATATAATGGAATTTTACACAGCCATTTTTACACAGCCATTAGAAATGATATGTCATTCACAGGGAAATGATGGTACTAGAATAAATCGTGTTAAGTGAAGTAAGCCAAGATCACAGAGACAAACCACATGATTTAAAATGCAATGGGCTATAACAAATTATACAGGATTCTAGACACTCACATACAGTGAGACCAAAAAGGACAGTCATAGGAGAAAATCACCAAGTTTTAATACACAAGTACCTATTCATGTGTATATAAAATAATATACATACTGAAATGAACTCCAAAGATAAAAAACGAAGGACCTTTTCTTAATTTGTCTTTTCGTTCTCTTATGACTCTGTATTCTTTACCTCATATGTGGTGTATACATGTGCATATCTGAGGGAAAGTGGGGGGAAGGCACAGAATCAGTGGGAAATGGATGAAAACGTGCAGTAGCAGAGCCTATTGGCTGCACTGGGCATTGATGAAAGTGAACCATGTGGCTTATGGGTGGAGATAGGAGGGGAGGAATGGGAGAGAATGAGAGAACAGATGATATTATGCAAAAGGAAGAAAATGTACTTATTACCTGACATATGTAAAGGTAACTCGGCTGTATATCCCCTCCAAAACATCAAAGTAATTTTTAAAAAGAGAGAAGTGGGAAAGAGGGAGGCAAGAAGGAAGAGGAAAAGAAAAAGAAAAAATAGGAAAGCTTCCCACAAGCCTGAATGCAGATTTTTCTTGGATGTCAACATTTATTTCAATGTTTCAAGGCTATTTATTCTTCACTGTGCCACACTGCAAACTGGACAGGTATAATCAAGAAGTGTTTATTCCTCTCCAGTTATGTTAGACTTGGTTAGAAAAGGCACTGAGCCAATGAAAACAATTTACCACCAACACAGTTTTCACCCACATTATTTCCTCAAGCAAGTAAAACCAAGTTTTAAGGACTCTACACCCACATTATTTCCTCAAGCAAGTAAAACCAACTTTTAAGGACTCTAATAGAAAGGAGAACTAGTGAACATGTATGGAAATATGGTAATCTAACATATCAGCACTACTTGGGCTAACAATTTGTGTCAACATTTTGTAGCACATTAAGTACCTAAGAAAATAATAAACTATAGTGGCAGCTAGTTTTTTTTTTTTTTGGGGGGGGGGTCCAGTCATGGGGCCTGAACTCTGGGTCTGGGCGCTGTCCCTCAGCTCTTCAGCTCAAGGCTAACACTCTACCACTTGAGCCACAGCGCCACTTCCCGCTTTTTTCTTT